GTGATGAAAAAAAAAAAAAAAGGGAAGTAACAATAAAACATAGTGAAAATTAAGAGATACTAGAGTCATATATAAAAGTGACATGGACAACAATAAGGTTAAAACGATGTTGTGGGTCTTTTATTAGATTCAAATGCCAACTTAATGGAAGGGACTCTAGCATTTCGAGAGTTGAAGCAGGGAAATGACAAGAAAAGTAGCTGCCAATAGTTTATAGAATTATAGTACAAGAACAAAATTTACAGAAAGCAAACTATGAAGAAAAAGTTAAGTGGACAATGAACCAACAAACCTGTGCCATAAACCTAGGAAGCATGATCCTCAGTATCTGATCTAGGACCTGAGCACCAGTTGACTCGATTGCCTGCACTGGAATTGCTCGAAATGCAAAGGGAATTTCAATGTTCACCTGCATAAAGAATCGATCAGAAGTGATGCAAACTAACCAATGTTCTAATGTGTTTACTCTTATTGCAACGCGGAGAAGCTCAGTCAGTAGACTCAGTACCTCGATAACAGCATCTGAAGTGAGTTGCTGCACAGGTGAGTCTCTTCTCCCGCTATCATACGATATTTTGTTCACCATAGAAGCTGCATGCCCATACCAAATCAGTGTCAAAGCACTCCTGAAAAGAATTATGTAATAACAATTAAGAACGACACACACACGAAGAGAGCAATTATTATTGCAGACAACTTGTCACATCAAGTTCTTTTGCCGACGAAAAGGAAGACCACTTCACCTCAAGGTAATTTGTCAAAAATAAGTAAACTAAAGACAAAAACATACCGACTTGAATCATGTTATGTCAATTATTTATACAATGTTCTCAACAGAAACCTTCCACAACAGCCTAGTGGAAGTCTAGGAAACAAGTTGAAACTGGGTTTTCACTGAAGTTGAACTTATAAGGACATCCAGTTTTCCTCCCCAAGTCGATGCAAGAAGAAAATTATTCGCTAATTGGCCATTAGAATCCTAGATTTACCTTAAATCAAGAAAGGTAACTAATGCTGCATCATCTTTCCAACAGTATGAAAGTATCCAACCTTTGAAAAGGATGACAAATGTAGCTATTTCAGCTTTTATGAGAAGAAAGGTAACAAATGGTGCACTTAACTGACAGACAGTACTAAAGCAGCCATCCTCTAAACAGGAGATTTTTGTTTTCCTTTTGATAAGAAACGGGACTAAGATTACATTGTAGTTTTCTGAAGAACTCGGACATCTACAACCACTTACGGATTCATTGTTAAAAAAGAAAACACATATTCTGATTTGTTTACATTATTCTACAAATGGCATGTCCATAAAAAAGGATCGATTGGATTTATGTAGATATTCATGACTAGTAAAGAGGACAAAAAAAATTAAATTGTTCGCCAATATTTTATTTCTTCATCAAATGTGTTCCCTGTTTTGATTCCCAGAGAACTTATACCTAACTGCAAAAGTACAACACCTCTAACAAGAATGTACTCACAGAAAGATATACAACAATATCCAAATCAAAGTGAGTGCAGCATCAAATTGCATCCAGAAAAGTAATCCGGTTCTAAGTGCATTATTTCACTGTTATGGACCAATACGAAACAAATAAATGAAATTGCAGCCCGATTGAACCAGTGCATCTTTCGAAGATCTTACCGAAAAATTGTTCTTTGAACACGAGCACATTTCCACTTATAAAGAGACTCACGCACAAATATCCAAAATGATAGAAATAGCACTTAAAAAGACTCCATACCGTCAAATTTATCATTTTGGGCGACCACAATAGGAGATCCCTCAAGCTGAGAATTCGAAGAATACAAATAAATATAACATGATTAGATGGCCATAAATTAGTAAAATGTTAAAGCAACTGGAAAATCCATAATTGAGCATAAAAATGCAATATACCTTGCAAGACAACAGCTTGATACAACATCCATCAGGCTGCTCCTCAACTCTAACCAACAAAACAGGGCACACTTCAAATGCAAAGAACTTGAACCTATATACATAACACCTGAATGTACTATCATCCACTCGTTCAATCCTCTCCGCATCCAACACCGAGTACTGGCTCGCCGGCAAGCTCATATACTCCACTAAATCAACAAAAAGAGTAAAAAGAAAAGCTCAGAAGAATCAAAACAGTACCAAGACTCACTGCTTCAAACAATCATTCAACTACGTCTCAATTTAACAGAAGCTATATGAATAATATTCAAATTATTCATTAGTACTCCCTCCATTCCAGTTTATGTGACCCGATTTAATTTTTACTCTGTTCAAAAAAAGGACCTTGTTCAGTTGTAATAAATTTGAAAATAATTTAACTTAAATTTCTTATTTTACCCTTTAGTGACAATTTTTATTACCACAAAAATAGTATGGCATGTTTAAAACGTTTCAAAAGTCTTATAATCATACAAATGTTATGACATCACTGACACCACAAGTTTCAAAAGTATGCACTTTTTTCTTAACTTCATGTTAAGGCACAAAGATTCACATAAATTAAAACAAAGACCATAGCAATGACTTTAGTTTCTTAACTCTAAATTTAGATTATACTTTGTAAAATAAGAGTCAACTACATAAACATAAGGAGAACAAAAAGTAGAATGTTGTAGAAACTTACTTAGCGGACGTTGAAGTTGTTTAACGGAAAGAGATTCTTTACGTCGGGCAATGAATCGAGCTTTGGGAGCAGAATCAGCTGTAATGCGGAGTGAACGCTTTGAAGAATCGTCAGACGAAGAGGTTAAGTTCAATAATGCATAAGGAACAGAGGTTGTAGGGAATCTAGGGTTTTTGTAATGAAAGGGAATGTAGCTTAGATTTGTTAGTGAAGAAGAAGCTGAACTCAGCGCCATGGATTTTCACTGAAACAAATAGGGATTTGATTGGTTTCAAAGTTTGTTTTATGGTTGTGAGATGTGAGACTGAGGATAAGCTCACGAGTGTGGTTAGGAATTGAATACGTCACCAAAAGAGGCGCAACTTAGCTTGAAAGTAGATGCGCACTTTAGCTTGTGGGCTTAACCGGTGACGAAAGCACTTCCCAAAGTGTAAAGCAATTTCTTTACTAAATTTTTAATTATAAATTACAAAAAAAAAATGTGAAGTGATTTATACAGCGTTAGTGCTTTCTATGTATAGTTGTCTAATTATCTAGGAGTACATTTTATTTCAAATGAGTATCTAAAGATTGTCGTTAATTATGTAAAAGTGTATATGATAAGTTCCATAACGAAATATTATGTCTTATACAAATATTACACGAAAAAAGTAATTTTAATCTCTTAAACTAAAACTATTCAATTTATATTTATACCTACTAAAAAAATACTAAATATTTGTATAACAATCCAATATGATAATTTAGAATTAATAATAATATTGAGTTTATACACCGTAAACCAAATAGTTTATAGTAGTAATTATTTACATATTTAAAACAACTTTAGCAACAAAAACTGTGTACGGAATTTGGACTTTAGCAGACACATGACAAACTTTACTTGACCGACCCTCTTACCTGGCGCTAAATATCTCCAAACTCGCTAAAATACGCCGTACAATTTCAAAATATTAATCATCATAATTCAAAATAAAGCAAATCAATGTAGAAAGCTGATTAATTCCATTCATAACTAGCAGTCGATTACAATAGATTTTACTTAAAAGCAAACTACTTAAACTATTTTTACATCCATAAAAGCCAAGATTAAGACCATAGAAATAGAACCCAAATCCTAAGACAACATTCAAGAGCTAGTGAATTTCGTAACAGCCTTAGTGCCTTCAGAAACAGCGTGCTTAGCCAATTCACCAGGAAGTACAAGTCTCACAGCAGTCTGAATTTCCCGAGAAGTAATAGTTGGCTTCTTGTTGTACCTAGCAAGTCTAGAAGATTCCTGAGCAAGCTTCTCGAAAATATCGTTGATGAAACTGTTCATTATTCCCATAGCTTTACTTGAAATACCTATATCAGGATGTACTTGTTTCAGCACCTTGAAGATGTAGATCTTGTAGGTTTCAACTGACTTTTTCGCTCTCTTCTTCTTCTTGTCTCCGGCAGCTGCAGCACCGCTGTCCTTCGGCAGTTTTTTGCCGGCCTTTGGCTTCGGAGTTTTCTCTGCGGCGGGGGTTTTTTCTGCTGCTGGTTTCTTCTCGGCGGGCTTTTTCTCGGCTTTTGGTGCCATTGTTAGGAAGACTGAGAAAATAAACAAGGAGTTTTTTAGAGCGAAGAAGAAAGGACTTTGATTGAATAGTTGAGTTGTGAGGAGAAAACAAGTAGAGCGTTTTAATTTTATAGTGTTTTAGACAGGAGTTGTGATTGGTTAATGCCTAGTGACGCGGATCGTTGTTGACAGCCGTTGATCTATGTATTTAATCAACGGCGATTTGGAAGTCTGTTTTGGATCCGTGTCATTTTTCTTGTTCTCTACCTTATATGCCACGTTTGCCTTTTGAGAAGCAATGTTAATACTACTCATTTTGATAAAATATCTAGAAGATATAAAAAAAAATTATTTGTTTAACTATAACCAAAAGTAAAATTAAGTTGGATTATCATTTTAGGTCGTACCGTTGTGTTCATATATACATAACTTTGCTTGTTGACCAAAAGAAATAAAACCACCACAATGTACACTCAAAATTTCTGAAATGAAAAGATGTATTATGTAAATTTTTCTTTCCTTCCTTTTTTTAAATGTCTATTGATGTACCCAAAGGTTCATCGGACTTGAGTAGACGGTGTGCAAGAATTTAAAATTCAATTCAAAACTTTAATGCTTTGAGCTTAGTAATGCATAAGTGACACAATTGATTCGAGACAATAACAATATTTGCTAATGAAGTTTGATGTCATCGCGGAGACGGAGCCATAATTTAAAGTTTATGGGTTTGCAACTAAGCGTTTATACATATTTAATAGATTTTCTAGTATAACTACAGGGTCTAAGCAAAAAATTACTGGGTTCGTTCGAACCCGTAAATAACAAACACCCTCTCTCCGCCCCAGTGCCATGGCCAGCCACATCGTCATGCCACGTAGGTGCTGCTTGGCATATATTTTTTATATATGGAAAGCTTACATATGAAATAGACGAGCATGTGTGGGAAGGTTCTAGAGAAATACGAAAATTTCTCGTAAAAGACCTTAGAACCATATGGAATTGCTAGAAAGACCTTAGTCCTTAGAACCCTATGGAACCCTATCGAAGTTCTGGGGGCATCCGTGGATTATTTCTGTATTGGGCCTGTAACTGCCTCATTGGGCTTGTATTCGTTCACACTATAATTTGTCATTTCTTCTTGGGGTTGTAATAACTTGTAAACAAACAGTTTGGGATTAATGGAAAGAGGTAGGGGTATTCTAATATTTGCATGAAAAGGTAGAAAATATGCTTATAGGGTCTATGTGCTTTCTATGCTATTTCGTTTAACTTGCTTTATTTCTGTACATCAGTAGAAATCATGTCTATAGGAATCATGTACATCTCACTTGCACACTTTTCAAACATGTTAGTATTTGCCATGTTCGTTTATATGATACTATTGTGCATTTAGATAGCATGCCTATAGGATGTATAAACATATGCTAGATACCATGCCTATAGAACTTCAAATAATCAATTGGTCGATTGCTTATATAACTTTAGTGTACTGCCCATCCAGATATCATGACTATAGGACACTAATATTTTAATCAACTACTCTTGTTGTTTTCATTACACTATCTCGCATGGATGACGTGTCTATGAGAGTAAGGTGTTATAAAATCAAGTCCGGTTGTCAATTATTAGAAATTATGCCTATAGGACAAAGTCACCTGCCTAAGACGCATATCTATGAAATCAACGCTAATAATTCTGAGTTTGCAAACAGTTTACCGCCTCCTCGTCTAAGCCATTGAGAACAATAACGTTGCATATATGATGTTGTAATTCATAATCACTTAGAAACCATGCATATAGGACTCTAAGTCTTGAATTATAAAATCATCTAATGCTTATTCTGCCGCATGCATTTGTTGTCTATGTGTGGAGGCTAAGTTGGGCCTTTAATTGTCTTTACGTGAAGTCCTATTTGTTTTGAATGTCGCCTAGCTTTCTCACTTTTTTGAGCAGCTACGTCGAGTCAAGAACCACCTCCAACTTTTGCTAACAAATAATTCTATAGGTTCATTGTATTCATCAATTTCATCGCCAATATTACTATTCATCTTCTCTCTTATTTTCTCAAAGGTACTATTTATGCTATGAACTAGAGTTTTATAATCCAATCTTTCAACCATTAAAACTTGTAACAAGTGCTTCAAATACTTCTAACTACTCATAATAAACGAGTTTGAAGCATTGGAATTACCTATAGTAGATCAATCTTGACAAATCACAACTTTGGTGATTTTTGTGTTCTTGAGGATTTGATGATCAATTCTAGTATGTGGATGCAAGAATGATATTAGAACTCATGTATATTGAGTAAGAATCAACCCAAAATATCATTAACAACTTACCTTAGCTGGTTGGACTTGATTTGAGCTTAAAATTACCCCTTCACCTCAAGAACCCTATCCTCCAATAATCAGAATACTCTCTTCCCCCGATTTTGTACTTAGAGGCCCAGATTTCTGGGTTTCGGACGTAGCCCCAGATGTTTTGCATCCCCAGTTCGCTCATCTTCGAAGCTTGGATACGGACTCGGGCACTATGACAGTACTTCACTGCCGACAATACTTCACTGCCAGCCTTCAGTAATTTGATCATAACCTATAGTAGGAATATACAAATGACGAACGGTTTGAAGAGTTAGAAACTAGACTCGAAGACCTTTCATTTGATAGGTTGTCCCCCACATAACTCCTTATATTCATATAGATATACTCATCCAAATTTAGATCATGTGCGTACTCATTTGAAACTTTAGTCTATCATGTAATTTCCAACTTGACTTGGACTTAGGGTTATCCTTAGACCTCAAATCATTATAATATGCCTTATACACTTATTAGCCTATCCAATTAATATCCAGCATATTAATAGTCCTCGTTTACTCATAAAATAATATAATTAGCACACATTAACTTTCTTAATACATCTTAAGCACTTTGAAATTTCCCGGGGTGCTACACCAGTCTACAATCAGGGATTGTCCAGACTCAGACCTCCACCAGTAGCAGAAAATAATTTCGAGTTGAAGCAAGACTTGTTCAAACTATCCAGAATAAAATGTGTCTTCAGATGAAAGGTGAATGAAGATCCTAACACTCACTTGATGGATCTTGAGGAAATCATGAACATCGTCCAATACAACGGACTGCCAAAAGATACAATATACTTAAGGGAATTCCCCTTTTTACTGAAGGATGATGTGAAGCACTGATTTTGTAACTTACTAATATGGTCAATCATGACATGGGAAGACATGACTAAAAAGTTTCTTGACAAATACTTCTCAGCTGTAAATACAGTGAAATTCAGAAGGGAAATACACAACTTCTGCCAGACGGACACTGAAATAGTTTTCGAAGCTTGTGAAAGATTCAAGGAGATAGTGAGGAAGTATCAGCATAATGGGGTTGAATTATGGATGTAACTCTAGGATTTTTGGGATGGACTGACACATCCCCCACGACGAACTCTGAACACTACAATTTGAGGTCTTTTAATGAAGAAGACTACTGAGGAGATTGTGGCAATTCTTGATGGGCTCTCTGAAGATGCTAACTAGTGTCCTGCTGAGAGTAATGATAAAAGAAAATTAGTTTGGGTTTATCAAGTAGATTCCAACGCATCAGTGCAAGCCCAGCTAGGCGTCATGGCCAAAGAGATAAGAAAGTTGACCTTAGCCAAGGTCCACATCCAACCATCATTTGTTTGTGATTTATGTGGAATGGATCATCCAACTCATGAGTGTCAGGCCTCAGGTGCATATGAAG